CTAGTCTCGTTGTGATCACAGGGGCAGTTAGAATCTTGACTTCAAGTTCAGGAGATTTTCATCCTGCCTCCTCTCCTATTGCCTTCATTTTTTGTTCATGATGGTGTCATTAAATTCAGGAAACACTTTCTCTTGTTTCCCAATATGGAATGTACAAAAAAAAAAAAAAAATTAACCAACGAACAACAGCGACAAAAAAAAATGTCAAAGCTTTTCTCTTCCTTGTCACCCAAAAGTGGTGGGTTTGGTGTTCAGAACAAAACAGGACAAACATGTTTGTAAAGACTGAAACAATTTTGTGGTTTATATTATAGTTTAAAACACAGTGCAAAGACCTAAAATAAAAGCAGTTCTGTACTTTACTGTAACCAAATAGGTATGGATTATAGGCATAGATTAAAATACAAATATAAAAATGAGCTTGCGTCTAAAAGGGCTAGTAGTGTTCAATTTTGTTAGGTTACTCTAAACGAAAGTGGAAACAAATATGAGAAAAATAATAAAGTCATGTTTAAAAATTAACTTTTGATTTTAAGTGCATAGTGTTGAAGGACTCCTTCCAGAGCTAAAATTACATTTAATTATTAAAAATACATACTCATGTTCATAGCAACACAATTCATGATAGCTCAATCTCAGAAGGTATTATTCTTACATATTCATTGATAGATGAATTTATCAAAAAGGAGGACAATTCTGCCATAAAGGAGGACAATCATGCCATAAAGAAAAATAATCTCAGGTCATTTGTAGAAAAAGGATATTCCTTGAAACCACAATATTAAGTGAAATAAATCAGAAAAATAAGTTTAAATACCACAAGTATAAATAACAGCAAAATAAAGGATAATAGAAAGCCAAGAGACAGAGACAGAGAGAGAGAGAGAGAGAGAGAGAGAGAGAGAGAGAGAGAGAGAGAGATCTTTCATCTTTCTCTAAGGGGAAGAGGATCAAAAGTTGGAGGGAAGAGAAATGAAAGAAAATAGATGAAAAAAAGGAATGACAGTGTGTCACGTATGTGCACCAACTTCCAACAAGGAGCGGAAGCAGCATGTATTACAAATATTTACTAATAAAGAAAAAGACTAGAATCAATAAATACATATCTATTCACCTACAACACACACACACATACACACACACACACACACACACACACACACACACACACACACACAGAGGAAGATGCACATGTATGTACAGACCAGAACACCATTTTTTGAGATATGCTAATTCCATAGATTAGAAGAAAACTTGGCATTTATGGAGCAGGAATCATGGTCATTTATGTTTAGAATAAGACTCATTTTGAACATTTTTCTGACACTTATCAGGTGAGTGACCTTGAAATAATATTGAAATTCCTCTGTGATTCGATTTCTTTATACGAAAAATGAGACAGTACTAATAATGGGTTTTGAACATCAAACTGTCAATATGGGGTAAAATTTTAAAATGTGGTGGCAAATTTTTTTCTATGAAGTGCCACATACTAATTATTTTAGGCTTTGTCACCACTGTCATACACATTCTTCTTCTCTTTCTCCTAGTTCTCCTCTTTCTCCTCCTTTTCCTTCTCCTTCTCCTTCTTTTTCTTCTTCTTCTTCATTTTCCTTATGGTGGTTGATAATTTTGTGTTTCTTTAAAATCCTTTAAAATTGCTTACTGGGCCACACAATCAGGCCACTGATTAGAAGGTGCCTCATACGTATCAGTGACCATATACTTGCTATCTACTATAAACCACTATTGTTATAATTATTTAATCTAAGTCCCTAGTCAAGTGATTAGAAGTAATAAAGATAAATGTTTGTTGTTAGAATAAATATATAAGATAAACATAAATGCAAATATATTTCCTTACTGAGTTCATGGAAAATGGAACTACAGACAGTCTCCTCTTTTGTATGTCCTTTTTTGATAATGAATGATCATTTCAAATTGTAAGAATTTCCTCACAGTTTTCTTAGTTGTTTTTTGCTTGTATTAGTTTGGTCTGTTTGTTTGTTTGTCTTGAGATGAGATCTTGCTGTGTAGGTTAGGTTGTCCTTGACTTCCTATGTAGCCTGGGTGGGCCTCATACTGACAATAATCCTCTTGCCTCAGCCTCCCAATTGCTGGACTTTTAGGCATGCACCACCATGTCCAGCTATTTAGTTGTTACAAAAACATTTGGGGTTCATATGCATATTTCCTTATAAAGGTGGGCTCTTTAGCTTGTTAAGCGCTGATTCTTCCTAACACAGCAACTGTTGGGTGCAGGTAAATGCCTGCACAATTTTATAGATAGGCTTGTTAACTCAGTGTGCTGTTACCATTTTGCTACAATTCTGATAGGCTTCAGAGTTTCAGGAAATGAAACTGTTTATTAAAAATGGGCATCAGTTTCATGAAATGAAAACATTGAGGAATTTTAATTGAAAACAATGATTAAGTTATCTCAGAAGCATTTTAGAATCTAAAGTAACTGATGGCAGAATCAGAATCCTCTCTGAAGGCAATCACCATCTTACAAATTTCAGAGTCAAGTGATACACAGTACTGCATGTTTTATTCTGTATTTATTTTAACATCACTAAACTAGCTTTAAGTGACAAAAAAACACACTATAAACATTTTAGGACAACATTCCTTAGCATGTTGGTCTCTGTAACATATTTTCCCTGTGTACATCTGCCTGAAGGTTATCCCCCCCACACACACACATGAGCTCTCTGCAGTATACTCACCACCTTACCACTCTCTCACGCATGCACCTATGCATGTTCATGCCACACTTATACCCATTTATACCTTCCACATATACTTATAACCTCCAGCACACTCTCTTATGTATTTATATACACATTCACACTCTCTACACGAGGGTACACACGCATACACTCTTACCCGATACCAGTGATGGCAGACTTGTCGAACGTTCAGACATAACAAGCAGCCCGCTGTGGCATGGTGTCATAGGTTCACCACCACTTTACTATATCAACACGCTCCTATATACCCTTAATCACATTCCCACTGTATGTACACTCATCAGCTTACCTACACTTTTATAGATATGTATACTCACACATTTACACACCCTACATATGCACATACATGCTAATACACTCTTATCTGCTATACACACTTGCACATATGCACACTCATATTCACTACACACTCTCACACACCTATACATAATACAGGGAGAAATTTAAATCTTTGACCAAACTTTCTTCTCAAAGTTACTAGTGCATGGAATTATAAAAATGGAGGCTCTCTTATTTGGCTGTTTAACTAGCAAGGAAAACTTCTGCTAAAGAGATGTTTTATTCATAGGGTAAATTCATTTTGGAATACATACCTAAACACCCCGAGGTTGTTTCCTATATGGCAGTAATTAATCAGTGAATTCAAGTAGGAAAAGAAATTTTGATTTTTTAGCAATAAAAACTTCATTTGGAATGAATATTATATTAGCTGAGAAATGCAGATTCTTGGAATGCAATAACGTTAGATTGCCTAATATGCTCCTAACAGGCGAGTAGGTAAAAGTGCAAGATGGCATTTTCCTAATTTACAGATATATTTATCAATTTGTGTTTATAATATTTAATACAAAAATATAGGCTCTATATTTTGAAATGACTTTTTTATTATACTTGCAATTTTTATCATATTCCTAAAAGAGTTCAGTATCATCAGTTGAAATATGGAAAAATATGCAGAATTTTACCCTAAAGGAGATTACTCTAAAAACCCAAGCAAAGAGGCTTAAAGCACTAAGAAGTCTGATCTCTCTACTGAAAAATTTTTAATGTTTGCTCTGGCACCTTCCAGTGGATATGGGTTTCAAATCACAGCAGTATATTTGCAGTTTTAAAATCTTGATTAATTAGCCGAATAAGCAGACCAGCCCCCAAAATTAAAAAAGTGGGCTCCTACATCACACACTGTATAATTTCTGAAGGGTGTAGAAGAAAATTACAGGTACTAACACTCCTTCACTACTATCATAATCCAGGTTCCATGAGTGTTTGGAGAAGCATTAGGTAGCACAAAATCTGTGGGCTTTGGGAAATTCTCGGAGTAAAAAGGAATTGAGACTGGGATAAAATGTCTTCTAAGCAAAAAGATGCTGTCAAAGTAAATGCAGGTGGTGTGGTTTTTCTATTTACTGGAAGGCAAAGCACAGACTTCTGGCGGTAGTAGTAGCTATGCCTACATACTCACGTAAAAGGCATTCCTGTGCATCAGAAATGGATAACTGGCTGCACAGAAATATTGAACTTTTACTTTCCCCATATGCATTGTGTAAACATTTGGATTTAAAATTTAATTTAAATCCTTGGAAATAGGTCTTGTATCGGTCCTATGATTGTAATGGGGCAGGACCAATTGAAGTCTTTCACTTGATGAGGAGGCAAGAGGAAGCCAAAGGAGTAAACATTCAAAATGATTAGACTTTGTGGCAGAGGAGCAATTGCTGGATTCACCAATATGAAATTCATAAATGTGTCATTTATCCCACTGTACATTTTCCACTCTACATCTGCTTTGTGTAACCTAAGAGAGGGTTATTCTGAAGAGTTGCTTATTTTCATCAGTGAATGATTTCATAGAATGAAATATCAAGAAGTACTTTAAGATTGCATTCACTGCATATGTTGCTACTGATATACAAAATATATCATTTCTAAAAGTCAAGATTTTTTTTGTGTGTATGTGTAATAGATTTGGTTCTCTAGCAGAGTGAACTTTTCATGAAAGCCCTGCATATAATTGAGTTTCTTTCATGTCTTTAAAGCTTTTTAAAATTCATGAATTTTCTTATCATTTTTGCAGCAAAGCAAAAGTATTTCCAAATCCTTTTTGAATTTTGTGTTTAACATTAACATATTTAAAATGTTAGAGAAATAGATGGAAGGGAATAAATCTTATATAAGAAAGTATTTGATTTTTGATGCACTTTAATGTTGCAAATAGGTCAGTTATTCCTATTAAATCAGTTCCATTACCTGTCACAGAGCTGTCCAGATTGTCCATACTGGATCCTGGTGTCTGGTCTAGTGCTCTCAGGGGCCTGGGAATTTCTAAAGCTTCCTCTTCATCATCAGCATCATCATCTGCAACATCTGTTTCCAAATCAGAAATCAAGGCTCCGGACACGTAACCTAATGGTGGAACAGGGGGCTGTGGAGGTTGATTATTGCTTTGAATGTGCCTAGAATTCAAACAAGAAAGAAAGAAAGAAAGAAAGAAAGAAAGAAAGAAAGAAAGAAAGAAAGAAAGAAAGAAAGAAGAAATTGCATTATTGTTAACACAATTAGAATTAGAATTAAATGACTTGCTTTAGTATCTGACACTGCCTTTGTTACCATTAACAATGGTAACAAATTTTTTCTTCTAATTTTGAAGAATTCAGTGTTTTCTTTTATTCAGAAAAAGCAGAGAGCTATGGACACATGCCTCACTGAATAACAACATAGGCTCATAAATTCCTCCACTGGTATTTATAGGGTGATAACACAGAGAAAAAACATACAGATGTCATATTTTTGTATAAATATTTCACCTACAAGAGCATAGAAGTATTTGTCACAAGTAGTTAAAATTGACCTCCTCAAAAAGGAATTTAATTATTTTTCGGTTTAGCAATGAGGTTCTACCTAAGCTGTGTTACCTATGAGCTTCCTAGCCCCAGTGAAGATGTCAGGGAATGGAATGATGCCTTCTCGGCTCCACCTTCCACAAACTTCCTGCTCCAGAACGACTATTTCTGTAGGACTCCTCACATCAGGCTGGGAGTGTGCATGCACTTAACCAGTTCAGGACAGGAGCAGCTTCTCTTTGCTCTGCCTTCCTGTTTTGAATCTAGCTCACCCACTGGAGTCTCTGACTCTACTGCAGAATAGATTCACCTCTGCATTCTGTGTTCAGAATAAAGAGTTTGTTGGAGAAACCCTTTACAATGAGTACCTACTTTAATCGCAGCCTTTTGAAGGAAGTACACATGTGTGATCAGCCCTTTTAGAAGGCATTTTAGAAGGTCGTGGAGTGACAAAAAATTAAGCGACATATTTTATACTGCTTGCCAAAAGAACAGGGTAATGGGACTCAGGAATCCAGTTAACTCAGTTTGAGACTACATAAGTCATTTTTAACCTATAAAATATTAAACAAAAGCAATTCATTGTTTCTGGCAATGCCTTTAAATAGTGAAAATATACATGTTTTGAATAGTGAACATATTACATGTTTTTATTGCCTTCATTCAAGGGTATTTTGAAGATTCATCTCATTGAAAGGAGATTAAAAGTAGATGCAAGGCATTTTTCTGTTGTTTTATAAATGAAAGATGTAAGATTATACTTCAAATCATTTGTTTTCTTTTGGGAAATATTATAGTCTTCTAGAATTAAAATAATATTCCTCTCCCAAGTGCACTCTTGGATATGGAACCAATTCCAAAGTTACAAGGATTCTAGATCTCTTCATACTGGAAAACTCAAAAATGTTAGTTCTGGAGGCTACCACAACATCATGAGATCCAAATCTCCAATTAAATAGACCAGGAATTGGAAGTTTCAAATTACATGTGGAATTCATGACTGTTCATTGATTAAAAAGTTAAAAAGGAAAGCAAGTTTCCTAAAAATTATTACACAAAACTTTGAGAACGGTTTAGCATTTGTAAGTACATGTGGCTTCAAATTGTGAATCAGAGATGGAGAGATCCAAGTGGTGAGTAACAGGATATTTATATGCATGAATCACTTTTCTGTATCAGGGTGGACTTTAGTTTTGAGTAGGATGAACAACATCAGCATTCTAGACTTACATCATGGTTGGCATTGCTGGAAAAATTCATAAGGGGATAAAAACATGTGCTCCTTAATTAAGCAGAATTGGGAGATAAAGTGGAGTACAAGATCAGCATATATAACATTTATAAATATCTTCTAGCAGCAGGACTGTACTGCATATTTCATCCATCATTAAAAATACAACTCATGGGAATTATTACCTTTTAAATAGTCACCTGGCAATGCTGATATGAAATCCTGATGAAGAGCTATTTGTAAACTAAAAGGGAAACATCTTGTATGGTCCAATGTAGGCTCACAATTCCCAAATGTGGAGCCAGCTCAGGCATCCTGGAGGGATGCTGGATAAGAACACTTAGAAGAAAGGAATAAGGCCTAGTACTGAGAGTAGATTCAAGTAAAGTAGCTCATGCATCCATTTATCAAGTACCTACTGATCACTTTCCCAACAGAAAAATATTTCGTAAGTGTGTAAAAACCTCACTGAACAACTCAGGTAAAAACCCAAACCCTTCGGAATAACAAACAAAATATACAAAGCAATTTTCTAAGCACTGCAAAAATTAAAGTTCATTTAATTCTCTCAAAACCTATAGAGCATAACTAAATATTTAACCTGAACCCAATAGAGATCGTGCCTCTTCCTTGAAAGGAAGCAATATCTAAGCCCTTAAGATTTTCTGCCTTGTCAAAGGATCTCTGTTTACCTGCACATCTTAGGCTACTCCTAAAAGTCTAACAATACAATCTGTGGGGAAAGCCAGGGGAATTTAAGTCACACCACATCAGCTTGACCTCTGGCTGGGTTGGATATTGAGGTTAGCTATGTGACAGGGCACAAATAAAGTCTCTGGGTCAGAGGGTTCATGTTCATTTCCCTGGTGAGCAATATTCCCGGTGCATGGCCTGCTCTTCACTGAGAAAGTAATACTATTCATCACTGCACTAGAAGAAGACAAGTGGAAACCATGCTTCTGGAATTTTCCTGCACTCTGAACTAAAGTCTTATCTCTTGCAGGATTTTAATTTGTGTATTTTTACTGTGATAGATTGTAATTCTGCAATAGTAGCTTCCAATCAGTTCTACAAATTTTTCTAATGAACCCTTCAACATGAAGGTGTTCTTGGGGACCCCTGAAACATACAGGATGGTAGATACAGGGGGAGGCGTTGGGAATTTCCCTTTAATTTCATAGATGAGCTAATTACTCGTGTCCATCATTTTACACATGGGACAACTATGGCATGTAAATTCTAAGCAAGTTGCTGAAGGCCACACAGCTAGTAGGACCTTCTGACTGTCACAGAACTGTCCCAATTCTCAGTTGTACCTAGTGATCAGCATCTATCTCAAGGTAGAACTGAAGTATAGTTTGACTTCAAGGTTATCTGGATAATTCCAAATATCAGCAAATTTGAGAACTTACAGCTAAAGTCTCTGTGATAAATGACCAAACTACATATCTTCATTACTTAACTTGATGGACGGTCTATCATTCTTTCAGCAGTTGGCTTTAACTTGGTGATGTTTTATAAAATAATACATTAGTTTGTGTTTTATTTTTAGGGGACAGGGTTTCACTATGCAGTTCAAGCTTGCCTTGAACTCACTATGTAATCTAGGCTGGCTTCAAACTTGCAGAAATTCTACCTCAGCCTTCCAAGAACTGGGATAACAGGTGTGTGCCACTACGTCTACCTAATAAAAATGTTTAATAGCAAGATATCGTTAATTTTTGAGAAAATGTCTGATGTGCATTTTTGAGAAAACATTTAGGAGCTTCTCATTCTAAGAAAATGATACACTTATGACTTCCTTGAGACATATTTTTGTACTCCATATCTCTTTAGAAGTATAGGTAGCTACACTTTAAAAATAGTTAATTAACAGAAGACAAGCACCATCTCATTATTAATTTATCTCAGCACCCAGAACTATAAAAAAAAGCAAAGAGTATTTTTAAAATGTGCTCCGATTTTAAGTCCAGTATGCAAATCAACAGCACATAAGTTGAGGTATGTCACAGAGATGTTTTAAGCATCTAAGCTTATATAGCCCTATTTGGGAGAAAAATATAACAAAAAACCCCAATAAAATTATAAAAGTTGGTTCTCCTGATATTTCTGCTATATTTACATAGGAGAAATTAATTGTCTCTATAGTTTATGAAACCTTATGGATAGATCAGAAAAATGAACTTGAGGTTTTTAATTTATTCTTTGAGGGTCGATTCTGGATGTACCTATTGTTACTAATATTGTTACGTCTATTTTTTTAATTCAATCCCCAAAATTTTTAATAACTGACATAGATCATATGTGAGATGCAGGACATTCTATTTACATATTCATAATCACAGACAGAATTCTTCACAGGCACTTTGAAGAACCTAAAAGGAACCTTTTATTCTGACATTAAAAAGTAAGTTCAAGGATAAGCTAATAAAGCTAAATTGTAAATTAGAAAAGAGTCCAGTGGAGCCAAAAGCATGTTAGCCTGGAATTCAGCAGATCTGAATTCTGGTCCTGGCTCACTAACTAGTTAGGTGACTCTGGGTGAATTATTTAACAGTTTTGCAGTCAGTTTCATTATCTACATGATTAAGAAACATTGTAAAAATCCCATCTGCATAGTTTTATGAGAATGTCTTGCGAGTGCTTGTCAAGGAAACTTCCCTGCATTGAAACCATTCTCTCTGAGGATATTTACCATGCTTGTTTCGCTATATCAAACTGATAAGCCCTTGTCAGCTCGTCCAGGTGAGCCTGCAGCATGGGCTGCATCTCTTCCCGTGGAGAGGGAGTGAGAGTGGCAGTGGATTGCTGTCCAAAGGAGATAGCAGGAGAAGAAGCCACGCCTCGAACAGGAGGTGTTGGGACCCGATCATCATCTTCTTCCAGTTCATCTTCTATACCTTGGTGTAAGTATGTTTGCACGGGTAATGGCGGGCACCAGCTATCACTGTCATAGCTGAAATAAGACGAGGACAAAGTGTACATTGAAACAGATAAGAATACACACAATTACCCTGAGACAAATAACAACCATATCGTGTCTAAATTGTCCTCTCTGTTTATTTCCTCTTGTTGGTGCTACCACAATAAATCACCTGGCTATTATCTTAACTTCCAATTGTAATTACATCTGTTATCTCAGTATCTCAGTTTATACTTTAAAGACCTTATTTCTAATTGTTATCCCACAGTTATATAAGGCAATAACTTCTCAGCAAATTTACTCGTGTGGAAACAACTGATTGTTAATTAAAAACAATTAATGAATTTAAGGCGTGTAGATTTAAATACTTCCTTCTCTTGTTCATCCTTGGTTATCAAGTGTTTGAAATTTTATTTTCTTGTTATATATCTATACCAACCTTTCATTCTATATGAAACCAATAATTATAAATAGAACTATTGGATATAATAAGTCTTCTAAATTCAGCCAAATTCAGACACTTGTCTGTGTCCAGTGTTTCATGTTTATCTACATAATAGATCCATCTTTTTCCAATGTAAACTAACTCATTAGCTCTATTATTAGGCTCATATCTTCTTTTCTACCCTATCTTCAACATAGCAACAAGATTATATTTCTCAAATCTTTCATGTCATACCTATGTTGAAAATCATTCAGTAAATACAACTAATAAAGAACTCAAATTTATCACACTATGCTAAAAGACCCTTCCTCAGCCTAGTTTTCTAACTTCATTTTCAACCCTTTCCTTCATCAGCCTTATGCATGTTTTTCTAAACTCTGCACCTGCATGTGTTCTGGAACCTGTGAGCTCCTGCCCCCTGCAAGGCTCATCTCTAACTGTCATCAGCTTGGGGAAGCCTTTTCAGTTCTGGGTCTGATTACAATTCCAAAATACATTAATACACTGAGTTACTGCCCATTTGCCCATATTCAATAATTTGGCTGCTTTGTTCCTGTTTTTCTTTTTTTCTTCTACTACTCGTAACGTCTTCTGAATCTCTCTCTCTCTCTCTCTCTCTCTCTCTCTCTCTCTCTCTCTCTCTCTCCACCCCCCCTTGAAACAGTACAATGGAGAAATTCAGATTTCTTTGAATATTTTCACCTGAATATCTTTTTATTTATTCTGTTTCAAACTGAAAACCCTGTTTAAGAAAGTTTGCAGTTTTAATTTGAATAACTCTAAGTACTTTTTGTAACAGTATAAACACTAGTCACAGCTTAGTGTATTACAAATAATTTTTTTATTGGAAATGACTACTGGTTAAACATATGCTCATTTGTTAATCACAGAATGAGTTTCCGATCTGTATAAAAAATATATTTCACTACAGTTGTCATTTTTATTTGCTTTGTATGTGAAAGATAACAGGTTCCATTTGAAGATTGTATCATTTAAAGTATTTTTAACCTACTGTTCTGCTGGGAATTTCCGCTTTAGACTTTTCCCATCCTCTAATCAATCTTACCCACCACTTACAAATATGTCTACAAAAATAAAAATTGTGTAAATGAAACCTGTACTTCTCTTCATTCTATTATGTCCATCAAACATATTTAAACATCAATTCTCCACCTTTAGAGACCATTTTTCTAGTCTTTCAACAAGAATTTCCTGCTTTAAGTTGTTTTGCTTCTTTTGTCCTTTGTAATTTTTTACTCTGGTACATTTGCTTACAGAATTCAACTTATTTGAAATCAATTGTGTTCCTCCAACTTTATCTATCTTAATCTTATAAACCCTTCAAGTTATAGGCTAAATTTCGTATCTTTTATAAAGATTTCCTTCAGGAGACCAACTAGCAGTGATATATTACTCTTCTGAACTTCAACTGACAATATTTTTGCACATTTATTTGAAAATTGGTTACATACAACCTAATACCATTTCCAATGCTGGTATCTTTAATTGCTTAATTTATTTTAGTATTTAGCCTTTCACATGTATATAGTATATTTTCCTTAAGTGGATTTAAACAACCTTATAATTAGAACACTGAACTTTTTTATACCTAATACATACCTTAAAAATAGTAAGTCACAATTATATTTATTGACTTGAAATGAAAATACAAAAACTATTCCATTAGTAAGAATACTCAAGTTTCTTAGCATATTTACTTGACATTAAATGGCATGTAATTAAGTAAAAAATATGAATAAGAAGCTAAATTACAAAGTAATTTCTCACTTTGAGAAGAATATATTTGCTATTGTAATTATCAAGATTAAAATTAATTCTTGTTACTAAAGAACATTTATTTCTTTTGTAAAACAGAGGTGTACTTTCTTTAGTTATACTGACTTGTCAGAGATATTGCTAAATAAAGAACTATTCTGTATAATCAGTGTTACAAATGGAAATAGCTAATTATTTTCTAAAATTTCTCTACTCCATGAATAGCATGTGATTTTTACTTTCAGTAATCTAGTGAATGTACATAGATTTGTACAAACATATTAAATGAAAACACAAAGAATATAAGAGAAAGGAGAAACATATATTTGCAAGCATCACATGTTAAGGTAACACAAAAAATGTCAGAAGTTGTATTCAATTTATTTTTCATTATTTAAATGTCAGGAAAAGGAGAGGTAAGTATTTAAATATCATTTTTATATTATGTGAATTCAGTGCTGTTTTATAAAATGACTAAGATATATCTCATTAGGTATTCTGGTAGATGTTGGCACTGATTGGGCGATGACTTTTCTGTAGTGATAACCTACAACAATATGAACAAACTGTATCTGCAGCACAAGCAAAACTGAATGTATCCAAAAAAGAAAAATAGAGAAAAAAAAATTCCAAAAGACTAGAAAAATGTACAAAGGACTTGATAAAGAGAAGTTAGGATACTGTACCCATCAAATAATGGAAAGGAATTGTTCATTATTTCTTTGGTGTCTGTACCTTAATCTATTTTGAGGAAAAAGGATTTCTTTGATGAAGAAGGAAAACTAACAGATGAGTATAAATTTTATGAAATGTGAATCTCTACTTCTGTAGTTTTGTTCACATTTTAAAGATATACATCTTATTTGAGTGAGAGAATTTTAACTTTTTCTTGTAGTCACACAGACTGTGAAAATGCTAATTCACACAGACAGTGAAAATGCTAAAAGTAGCCAAACCAAAGTTTTTTGACCAACCTTTCTGAGGGAAACACTTGTTCTCTGACATTCTGTCAGTAAAGTCAGAGGCATCCTATTATCTGTCTTGCTGGATGAGTAATGATACAGTTGGCAGAAAATCGATATTGTGTAGGAACTAACTTGCTAAAGGCCACACACAAATACCGAATTACTAATACAATGCCATAAAGTTCATCACTAGAAAAAGCTTGCCAGTCTCTAATTGCAATAACACAGCAAAGCACTAATGTTCTGTTTAGTTACTATTGAGTTCTTCACATGCTGTGGTGGTCATAAAATTTATTATATTTGTATCTAAGAACTAAACATTTTAACACATTTTCATTCAACAGAAGAAAATATATTGATGAGAATGAACACTCACTATCATTGTTATATCACTGCATGAACAATTAAACCCTTTTTATTTGAAGAGTGATTTGATAATATGACATTTAGTATAGTGGGAGAAAGTAGTGATTTAATAACTTGGAAATTCAGTATTGTGGAGGAAAGGCTTAGAAATAAAATTGATATCTAAAACCTTAAAAATAAAAATCAACAAAATTAGAGATTCTATTTTCAAGATTATAGTAATTGTTAACTAAGAATGTCTCCTAAATTCATCCGCTTTCCTCCTTTTCACTCATTATTCATTATTTCGTTCCCTTGTTGTTTACCTGAGATCAGCCATTGCTATTGTATTCTATACATTATACACCCGCCTCACAGACTCTTCCAGTCATCCTCCAAACTCAGACACCAGAACCCTTCTGTGGCATAGAAGGATTCAAAGTAGCCAATCCAACTCCTCATAAAATCTCCTACACCATGTAGGGTTGAAATTCAGCAAACCTATACAGTACACACTGAGAGGTGCACAGAAACAATTAAAATGCAATGTGGTAAACACCACAACAGGAAGTAGGAGAAGGAATGTTGAAACATACATGAAAGACAGATAACTTCAACCAGAATCAGGTCGATGTCTCAAAGATAGAGGAACGGTGCTTTTTCATCTTGTTTAGTCTTTGAGCAGGAAAATTCTCTCCATTTGCACAACAAATAGTGACACTGGTAATATTTTGTTTTAGCTGTTGGGTAATGATCTAGTGTGTAGGAGGTTTAGAGAGTGTTTAGTGATACGCTTTGTCATTATTTTTGGTTCCATGCTTAACATGAAAATAGTCTTCTAATTTTTCATACGATTATTCATAAATAAATGATTCAAGATCTGCTTCAGTATTTAAACAACACTAATTTTCCTTAGGATTGACTACTCATCTACCATAAATAATTACCCCTTTCATGAGACAAATTATTATGTTTTATACACAATTAGAGTTTGCTGTACACAAACGTGTGCGTGTGTGTGTGTGTGTGTGTGTGTGTGTGTAAATTAAAAGAAGTTGGTTAGTTTCTTGTGTCTACTCTCTACCCTCTATCTACCTCTCTCCCTCTGTCAGGGATCAGACCTTTCAAACTAGTTGCATTAGTTTGATATTGGTCTCAGCTGCTTCTCTTCATAACCTGAGGGTAAGCACTATGTACTTGCAAAAATGTTTGTTGAATAATTTCTCTAACATAATATGTTAAAAATAACAACAATGAAAGTTGTATATTACTGAAACCAGCACAACTGCAGAATTCTTGATTGTTTGAAAAAAGTATCGAAAACCAAAGTACTAATTGTAAAATGTTTATATTTTGCATATAAAAAACATGGATTAAATTATAAAAGTTTCAAAGTAAAACATACACAAAATCATACAGGTCTTTTCAGTGAAAGTTTTGATAAATTACAGAGTATAATCTGTGCTACAGAGTATCATGAGGTTCACACAGTAGAAAGCTTACAAATATAAAGAATATATAAAAAAGAAATATCATCCCAAATCTACTACTTCAAATTTGTCCTTGTCATTTTGACTTTAATGTGTTGGAGGTTTTGTTGTTGTTGTTGTTGTTTTTTTGTGTGTTGTAGTACCAGGGATCAAACTCATGGCTTTGCTGTTGTCAAGACAGGCACTTATACCACTCAGCCAAATCCCTGGCCCCTTTAATTTTTTTTTTTTTAAATATAAATGATTGAGACACGAACTTTCTAGATTTAGGATGAGAAAAATTAACGATGAGTGAGGATACAAAAATTTGGCACCATCATTACTGACTCATTACAATCTAATCACTGTTCTGGATAAGAATATAGCAATCAGGACTGCGGATTTAGCTCAGCGGTATAAGCACCTGCCTTGCAAGCAGGCGGTTGTGAGTTTGATCCCTGCTACTGATTAATATATATATATATAGCAATCATTTCTGCAATATTAGTTTGTGAAGGGAAATACATACTCAACAATTAACAATAAAGAGGAACCCAAATAAATACTACAAATATATGGATATGCTATTCCAATTTTAAATGCCCATATATACAAATGTATTTATTTAAAATATATTTTTATCTATTTAAAATATCAAGTGTATACTTACAATATTAAAAAGTATGCACTTTGAGAATATTAAAATGATTTACTAACTTGCAGAAGTGCAGAAATAATTTTATTCCTTGTATCAAAATTCTGAAAAACAATGTATCAAAAGATAAAAGTCTGTACCAACATCTATTAGTTCATGATCCTACAAATGTTTCCAAATCTGTTTTACACAGTCAAGTGATAAGACTCACATTTATTTTGATTAAAATATATTTTTTCAATGGATAACAGGTACTGTTATATTCTATAAGTATTAAAATTAGACTCAATGTAAAAAAAGAATGAAAGGAAAGTGTTCAAAATTATGCACAATTTTCAAGCCCTCTGAGTTCAAGATTTTGTGCCTATAAAGTGCCAGCACGGCTCCTTTTCCTTCCCACTCCCATTTAACAAGCACTTTGTTTTTCTCTGTCTATTGCAGTCTTTAAACTATAGATTGTTAGGACTTATTTCTTTTTTTGGATGAGTATGTGACACTGATACATTTCCTATGTAGAATTTTATCTTTTTAAAGTCAAGATAAGAGAGGGTGTGTTCTTAGTTGCCTATTTTAACTGCAACCTTTTTTAAAAAGTAAAATGATAATGATATGCACAAATGTGAGCACTACAGGCCTAGGGGAAAAAATGAAGTCTTCTTGAACAGAGAAAGACAGAGGAGGAAGAAAATGTCTGAATATATAGTTCACACATATACTTACATATACATATTTGTATGTGTGTGTATTTTTGTATGTGTGCATGTGCAAAAAACTCAGGTGTTATTTTTTGAAAGAGGAAAATATTATAAGCATTCTAGTTAGAAAAGTAACCCAGAGACCCCAAAAGTAGCAGTTATATATGACACAAAGAATATGGATAAAAAATTATCAGCATGTATATGTGATATTTATTTGTACCATGATAAAACATAAAACTGCTATTCAAATACCACAAGGTGTTTTTATATGTAAATATTTTAAGTGAAAATTCGTTAAAAGAAAAACTACTCATTTTCTATATGTTTAGGCTCCACAAAAACACAGTTAAAATAAATGGTGACTAACACATTTTTCTATGCGTTAGAAAAATTCTGTAAATAAATAAAATTTTAAAAAAAGAAGACATAGCCTTAAGAATTACTTAAGTAGAAAGAGAGTCCAAATGTTGCTTTTGACTTACTTACTTATGGAACAAAACAAAAATTACTTGTGCATTTGGGTTGAAAGTCAATTAACACTTAAGTTAACAGAGAAAAGTAACGTTATGACATGCTTGAGAAAGAATATAAGGCAACTGGTCACATTTAAAGACCTCAAAGGAAATTTCCTACCTTGAGTAAAAAGGTTTTGTTACAGAGCACATTGGCTGTACCTCCTTCATTGTTCTTTACCCTAAGTTCCCACCAGAGCTGATGATTAAAGTTGCACCCGCTGGCCAGGTCCCTACAATTATCCCATTGTGATGGTGCTCTAACGTGGCGCCCTGCTATGGGCAGACATCAAGTCATTAAAGAGCTGCAAGGCGTGATGAAGAAGGTTATTTTAATTCCTCTTTCAGCCTTTCTCAGGAGTGGCTCTTTAGTTCACAGAGCTGTGGGTACTTGCTTTCAAACTAACAAGCAACATTATAAATGGAGGCTGCATTACCCATGATTGCAGACAATCTAAGGCACTTGAGGGCCAAGGATTCTCAGACCTCGCTATAAGCTGTTTTGTATTTACCATTTAAAAACTTATGGACAGTGCAAACAGGAAAACGCGGGTGGTGGTGTTTGCAATGATGAGGGTAGGAAGGGAGGAAGCAAACAGTAAGAGAAGCCAGGGAAAAAGAGAGTGGGATGCAAGTTGGCCGTTTTCTTGGTATATAAAACATTTTTACCCGTTCTCCTGCTCTTCCACTGCATAGTGTTCCAGCTCTGTACCAGGAAGGGGCTGGACTGGGGGAGGAGGCAGAGGAACACTGGCCCAGGTCGATCCATTGTTTTTCTGTGGTTTGGAAGAGTTTTTAGTTTTTTTCTTTTTGCCACCTTTCCCACCTGAAAGTAATGATACGTTAATTCAGAGCTGCTGCGTATCAGAAGAAACAGAGCATGTCAAATGGAAAGATGAATTCATGGTTTCAAAACATCAGAAATCAGCACATTAGAAATGGTAATAGCTATGAACAATGAAATAATATAATCAGAAAAACACCTTTAGAAATCATTCAGGATGGTACTGTCTATCCCAGTGCATTAACTGCAGAGCTAAATAAACCAAAAACATGGATGTTGCATCAAAAACACATTTATTGATTCACCCATGTTTGCTGCCCCCATGTTTTCACTCTTAGATGAAGTAAGATCCATAACAAATTCTTTTAAATGTCAGACTTTATAATACTCTTTTGCATAATCTCTCTCAGTGGAAAATAGAGAGTCTAAGGATACAGGCTAAAGTTTTCCATTAGAATTTACTCCGTTTAATTAATCCAGGAGAGTACATTTTTCTCTCAGAAGTCACTGATAAAAATCAATAAACTACAATCTGGAGAATACTTGCAAATCTCTCACCATGATACGTTTCACAGAGTTTTTGACTAATGAATGGTACAATTATTTTTGCATATAGTGAGAACAGTTCCCAGCAGCTTTAGGCATAACGTTTCATAAATTCAAAAAGTAGGGAAATTAATGGAAGCACAGTAATCAGTTACAGCATGGTCTGTATTACAGATGAACTCATGCACAAATATGAGGAGAAAGTAAGTCAGCAGTGTATGAGCTATGTCTTGCATTACATGAAGCTTAATGAAATATAAAAAATAAAATTTATCCTTGCATACTTCTGTAATTTTATGCTTCTAAGATTAAATAAATAAGCTTCTTCATAAAATAATGGATCCAATTAGATAGACGAATGAATACTTTTTGTGTAAAATGTCAAAGAATGTTTCATGAGTTCCTAAGTAACTTCCCATCATGGTGATAACAGTAAGTGAAAATATAGTATTGACCTCTTACATTTCACCTTTCTAGGACTGAAAGTCAGAGCACAAAATGTTTGTATCAGAATCCTTAGTCATATAGATGTAAAAGATATCCTCTCATCTTTTTTGTTCTATCAACTACTAAGTTAGTTTACATAATTTAATAATAGTATGCCAGAAAGTGAAAAAATGTTAAACTAGACATACATAATACTGTCAATTATGTTTTCCACATAGTATGCACACATACAAATATCCCTGCAAACAAATGTTTTCTCCTTCACTTCTTATTTTTTATATAAAGGAGGGCAGGTACCTCACGTTTTGAGAAGATCTTGATTTCTGGTTTTGAAGACTAGATCTTGACTTACTTAAAAAGTAACGTAATACGTATTGCTGAATTTCCACACATGTAGTGCAGATATAGTTACTTCTCTGAGCTATCTTTAAGATTATTTCAGAGACTACATATAAAGTGCTCAAAACATATAGAAGCCTTAATAAATGCAGTCATTTCCTATCTTTTCTAATAAAGCCAGTTTTCATATATTTCTTTCTTTTTCTTGATTTTTTTTTTTTTTTAAGACAGGGTCTCGTTACATAGGTCAGGCTGGCCTTGAACTCACTGACATAGCCCTGGCTGGCCTCAAATTCACAGTGACCCCGTTGCCTCAGCCTCCCAAATGCTGAGATTATAGGTGTATGACACCACATCTGGCTTATTATTATTATTGTTATATTGAAACAGGGTCATGCTTTGTAGTTGAGGCTGAAGTTGAACTCACTACATAGCCCAGTCTGGCCCTAAACTTGCAGCAATTCTTCTGCCTCAACAGTCCAAGTGCTGGGATTACAGGCATGTTCCACCAAGCCTGGGCATATTCTTATTTTCCAAAAGTGTTCTTTACTCCAACTTCTCCAGGCCCAATAATTATGGAGTAATAGTATGAATGATAAACTTCCTTGAATATAAGTCTGTAATCATTTGTAAAGTAAATGAAACATCCTTTGATTGCCTTAATCCACCAAAATCATAAATAGAGACACTAAGGACCATATATCTTTTTATAGTATCAAAACTACACCTCAACAACTGAAAGAGGATTGTGTTAAACTACTCATCTTGCTGGGCTTTCCCCTTTATGTACTTCTATTATGCTTTTTTGTCTTTGTACCTGTAACAATGCTTTTCTCTTTCCACAGTGCTTTTAGAAGTGTTAACTGCTTGACTCCAGAACTCTGACAAAAACAAGGAAGTGCTTACATGTTATTTGCTAGTTGAAGATACTGAGCACCTTTCTGAGTGTTATTTGTCCATATGCACATAAAAAAAGAAACTTAGATTTACAGTACTATGCAGTAGTTCCAGACTTCTGAATGCAAACGTTGGTTCTTACTTAAATTTAATAAAAGTATTGGTTATGAACTCCTCCAAACAATAGGCTTAAAATTGTTAATGAGCAAGGGCTTTACCTGTTCCTTGGTTTTGGGAAAATACATTATCTCATTTTTGAAAAGTTTATTCGGGACCATTAATGATCAAGGCTGTTTTCTCTTAGCAGTGATGTAAATAGTACGTCGGTGACACAGTGGTAAGGATATGATATAATCAAAAAAAATTATGCATTTCCTTTTGTAATCTAGATCTTTAATAAAATGAATATGATCTGTAATTACTTGCAACCAAAGATTCTTCAAACCTTTTAAGGTAAGGGCCACTAGCATCATGTTCTAAGGGAACATATTTTGATGCCTGGGATACATATTCAACCTCTGTATCTTAAAATAAAAATGTAAACATTTGGATTTTTTTAATGGCTAATAAATGACTTTCATGCAAAGAAAATTAAGAGATTGACTCATTCTATAATTTAATGTTTAATTTTTAAACAGATATTGGTGTATTGAAAGATTTATTTATTGTTACCTATGTTGTACAAAGATTTTATATATATAATTTCAGACACTATTTTGTAAAGTCTGAGATATTTTAATGTTTGGATTTTTTTAACAGAAATACTCTAAATAGTACTCTAAATACTTGATTAGTTAGTCAAGATAATTAATCAAGCCATTAGTTAGCTTGATTTTAAATTTTAATCTTAGGAAACATTCCTATAAATATAAGAATAAAACTGTAACATTATTGGACTAAACTATAAAAGAATTAATCACCCCAATTTCACCTATTGAAAAATGCTATCACCAATTTAAGTAATTTTGCATTCAATTGTAAATGCAGTAAATATAATTTATATATATATATATATATATATATATATATATTATTCAAGAGATTAATGTATACAAAAAGCCTAGGAAGCACTATTGTGAATTGTGTTCTGTTTACAATTACCCAAAAGATAACTTAAAATTGAGCAATACTCTATCTATATGGAATATTTAAAAAGTTTCACAAGTCTTATGGAATCCAAGGCTTAGAGTAATATAGACTTCTTTTAATATATTGCTTGACCTTATAGTGTCTTTAATAAAACAAAAATTGAAGCTTTGGAAAAATTACTTTTTAATTATTCAGAATAATTATGGAACTAATTATAAATAAATGACAGCATAAATGACAGATAAGGTCATTCAAAAAGTTCTTCTATATCATTAAGTCAGTTTAAATTCATAACAGATGTTTAAAAATTTCTGAATTCTATAATGTATGTAGGCCTACCAATAGAAAGAAGAGCAAATGACTCATTTTGGAGGGAAGAGAGAACATTAACATTTTCAGTCTGAGACAGTTCTCTCTCCTGAGGAAGAGTAATTTAGTAAATGTAACCCTAATGATGTAGAAAAGTTAACTCCTTATGGCCTTAATGGTTAGTGGCTTTAGACATGTGACAGAACATGGTAATCTTTTACTATTAATACATAATTTTTTTTAAAAAAAGCAAAAACTCCAAGCAAACAAATAGTATATAGTTAATATGAGCATATTAAGCAGTAGTCTCATAAATCTATTAGAAATACAGATAATCAATCATACTGTGTAAAATATTATGTTTCAATAATGAAATTTGGATATTACTGATATTAATATTTCTGTATAAAATGTTTTCTCATCATGTGTTATAGATATAAGAACTATATTGTACATTGTCAGTTTAGCTGATAATTATTAAATCCATTTTAAAATTTAGGGCATAAAATAATTATCCACATCAAAGATTATATATGTGCTTTCTGAAAATTAAATATTAATAATAACCTCTCACATTAACATTCATTTAGCACAGTATAGTTCCATTAACTAGATAATAAAGTATATATTTTGTAAAGCCTTTCCAAAAACAGGAAGCTACATCAATGGGTCCCAATACAAAACGTCTTCTAAATCATTTTTATTTTAGTTGCAGTTATCTTTTGGTATCAATGATAAGAAATTGAGTTTTATGTGTGACCTTTTATTTTAATTTCTCTTGACTAAGAAATAGCAAAATTATCTGCTTTTTAATAAACATTATTTAATAATATGATTATACAGGTAGTACATAAAGAGTGAGTGTGACTTTTATTTCTCTTTCTCCCCACACCAAAGCAGAATTTCTTTAGAATCAAATGTTACAGTCATTTGAAAGATAAATTCTTGATGGTGGGCTGGGATTAAGTATTTCTTCATTAGTTGTTAGGAACACAGGTCATATGCTGGTGACAAACAAATATTTGTCCTTACTGTGATAAGACCAACCTGATAGACTGCCACTCCTTTCTGAGCTGTTGTGAGAGCTGGTGGTGCTGAAATCCTGTGACTGGTTGTGTGGCATTCTATTAGACAATCCCTCAGCCAATCGGTAGTCAGGGATGTAAAGTAAGGCTAAGGGTTAAAGGGCAGAGGTCATAGTGGCATCATGTGATTAGTTCACAGCACAAGCCCATGCAGAACATGCAGTTAGCAACTCAGAAGCAGATGTTGTGGGACAGTGAAGAATGTTTTATTTATCCTTTCCTAATGAAAGCAGAGATGGATTGCTGACCAGTATACTGAAAAAGAGCTGGAAGAATGGAACTGATTGGTGTTGGTGTGTAGTGGTGGTGGTGGGGGCAGTGGAGATTGTGATAGGGATTGTTCAAGAAACTGATACATGCTGGTAAATATTTTTAGTTTACAAAGTAAACCTGGTAATGAATCACTAAATTAAACAACAAATACTAATTTCTATCTCATGCACAAATGATATGAAATTAATTTCTCAAAACACAGGAACTGGACTTACCATTGTTACCTTTGTTCTGATCAGGTAGAGAATAACCAAATCCCATTAGATCTGTTTTTTGCTGAACCGAGCTTTTCCACTGTGGATCAGGCAGATCAACAGCCAATTCGTGGATGCTACTGGAATGCAAGATCTGTGTCGTGGCATATGGGGTAGCCTGTGTTATTTGGCTGGAACTGTTATAAGTGGTTTTAGTGGTGAAATCAATGCTACTATAAATGGCTCCATCTGAGAGCATCGTGGCTGTTTTATCCCCTTGGCCAGGAACTGGTGGCAGCACGTCTGTGGTGAACATAGGGAAATGAAACAATTTAATGATGCACAGGAAGCCCAAAACTATCAGGACTGAAGATGAAAAATAAATGTGTCACGCCACACGTTTGCATTTCAGCTGAGATGGGCTTCATGAGGCAGTGAAGGGTAGATGATATACAACCATCGCTAAGCTATCAGCCTCAGTGACAGGCAAGCCTACTGCTTGTCCTTCACGTCTCACTGCTTAAAACATCCCTTCCTCTGTTCTCTTCAACCATGAATGAGAAGTTTGGGATATTTCACTAATGAAAGATGCTTTCAGTTGTTCACACTGTTTTAAAACCAAGGAAAGTATTAGTGCTTTACAGAAGCTCTGGGAAGAGGATAAGAGAGAGCTTAAACATCATAGAAGAAACCATCATTTTCCACTTTACCATTAAGAACACATGAATACAACTGATGACTAGTTGTGAAATTTTGCAAAATTATAGTACCCTGACAATGAAATACATTATTCTGAATTTTTAACTTGACATTTATCTGACTTAATTTCATAGCACTAGAAATGGAGAATAAGGGATACCAGAAGGTGTGTGTGTGTGTGTGTGTGTGTGTGTGTGTGTGTTTTACTGGGATAACAAAGGAATATTTTCATGAATAAGTCATTTTCACAATGCAGCAGGATTTAACTATGGAAAAAGCAATCTCAGTGATCAGGGAGTTTAATTTATGCTATCAAGTCTTTGGAGTGGAAGGTTATAGTTTCACGTTGTAAAACAGCAAGAGTAAAATTAAACTTCAGGAACAACACTGAATATCAATCAGTTCATTTATCATTTTGGGATGCTAAATTATCTTTACGTGGTGCTTTATAATTCAGACCTTCTACCTCTCTCCTGAGCACTTATTTTCCATTTTCAGCAGAACAATATTAAATGAGTCTAAAAGAGAAATCATTAACACTAATTTTATTCATTTAGCATTTAAATAAATCTAATTATAGCAACTTCCTTAATAATATATGCTCTAAAAAGTCACTTCACAAGACTCAAGGCCATAAAATTACTTGATCTCTTCATGATGGGAAATTTTCAGCTGTTTTGCAAGTTTCAGGTTCAGTGATATCCAATCAGATTTGAAATAAAGATTCTTAGAGAAACACTAATTTTGTTTTGCATTTTATGAAGATTAAAAAAAAGCTTGCTTTAACAATAGTAATAAGAAATTTATATATTATACACTTTAACTCTGATCTCCCTGGAGGTTTTGTGGTTTGCCAAGTCATTTTATTAGTAAGTATATATGTACATTATTGATATGAATATTTTAAGTGCATATTCATGGGGTAAACATTTCCAAATTTGTAATGTTTCAGTAGGCTGTATTGGCAAGTGTTATAGTTCATATCTAGATGTCCCTCTAAGGCCTCATGTGCGCATAGGTTGGGCATTTGGGAGTAATTGGATCATGGATATATCATACAGGATTAGTCCACTGATGGTTTAGCATAGTTCTGGGTGTGGATGATGGGCTTACTGAGGAGGGAAGACACACCCTGGGTGTGGATAGCACCAACCAATAGGCTTGCAGCCTGGATGGAATAAAAGGGGAAAGAGAAAGGAAGTCTTGCTGATTTTTTGCTTGCCTTCCCGTGAGCTCTCTCTGCCTTGCCACCATGCCTTGAAGCAACTGACTATGGACTGAAGCCTTCACAAACTGTGATCCAAAGTAAACTTTTCCTTCTTTAAATTGTGGGTGTCAGGTGTTTACCCAGCAATGAGAACATAAGTAAGACAGCAATAAAAACTGCATCCATGTTTTGCACTTTCACAAATATGTTCTTGATATGTTTTTATCTGCATACTAATTTAAAAAATGATGCTGAACATACATATTTTATTTTTTTCTCAAAAATATATTTTAGTAGTGTATTAACATTGGTGCAAATAGATACTTCTAAGTATTCACTTTTGCTTCTACCCTTCTTCTGGTTTTTTTTTTTTTTTTTTTTTTTTTTTTTTTTTTTTTGTCTTTTTCCTTTTTATTGGTACCGGGGATCGAGTTCACGACTCCCTGCTTGCAAGGCAGGTGCTTATGCTGCTGAGCTAAATCTCTAGCCCCTTACCATTCTTCTAATGACTATTAATTTAGTAGAAATATTTCTCCAGCATGGGCTTCAGTTTCATTCAATGTGAAGTTTTTGTTCTCTAAAACTTTAGATTAGCTCATATGCCAATTCACCTGCAAGCTATTGGCATCATTTAGTTCTCAAATGATTAAAAAATAGAAAAAAGTAATTTAAGTATCCAGCCCTACATAGTTTTACTCCAGAATAACTAAACTCATGGTTCTATAACATACTCTCTCTCTCCCGTAGATGATAAGCAGATTTCCAGTCTAATTACTTCCATGTTGGTTTGGGTGCTACATATTTTCTGCTAATACTATTTGATCAATCTCACAGAACTAAAAATTTAGACTCTCAGTATAAAAATTTCCAATCAAAAAATGGACAAGCAGAATGAATAGATACTTCTCAGAAGTACAGGTGACTAATACATGCATGCAAAAATGTTCAATATTACTAGACATTAGAGAAAAAAAATCAAATTTAAAACAGAATTGGGATACCATCTCACTCTAGGTAGAATGACCACCATTAAGAAATTAAATAATAAAAATGCTAATGAGGCTGTAAGGAAAAAGGAACACTTCTAACTGATTGGTGGAAATATAAACTAGTATATTCACCATGGAGATCAATATGGAGATTTCTCAAAAAACTAAAAATGCAAATTCCATCCTACTCAGGAAGTCTTCTAGATATCTTTCCAAAAGAGTTAAAGTCCTTACGTTACAGTGATATAAGCACACACATGTTTATAGGAGCTCAATGTATAATAATAGTTGAATCTTGCAATTAGCCTATCGCCACCCACAGATAAATGGATAAAGAAAAGGTGGTATTTTTACACAATGGAGTACTACTTGGCATAAGGAAGTATAAACAAGGCATTTTTAGGAAAATGAATGTACTTTGAGGTCATAATGTTGAATAAAATAAATCAGATATAAGCTTAAATGTCACAGATTATCTCTCAGATGAGAAACATATAGTTAAAGAGTAAAACAAAAGATAGATAACAGAAAATAGGGATATCTCTTCCAAATGGAAAGGGGAACAAGAAATGAATGGAGGAGGAGGAAAATAAAGGAAAGGAGATACAAAGGAGTACTGAAGAAAAATGCAAACAGAACTTTTGCAAATTGCAATAGGTATAGGACTGCAATAGAGAGGGCTGGGAGGGGAAATGGGAAAAACCCCAAAGAATTAGGACATAGTATGTACAAGTACAAGCTGCCCATGACACATGTACCATGGAGGACTGTGCTGGCCTTGAGGGTCATCTGGGAAGTCTCTCATTCCCTGTAAATGAGGCAAAAATAGAAGAAAATCTTGCAAATCTACACAGGGATGTACCTTTTCTTAATCAGACCATGACATCTCTGATGTTAATATAGTCAGCTAGAATGTGAAAAATGAACCATTTTCATCTTTAGGCATTTATTTGATGATAGAAAAATAGAATGTTTTATCAATCTGATGCAAACACAGTAAGTAGAAGAGGTAGTTATTACTCAATTTGATTAAAGCTTTGGGAACTGGATTTCTTTGGATAAAGTCAGTTTGCATAGTGAGAGGAAGTATGTTCTGTTTTCTCTATGAAGAAATGCTCAAGCTGGGAAACTCCTAAGGCACAGTGATTACACATTTTCAGAGTCTGGTCACCTAGAAAAGACAGCTACTCATGCAGTGTCTGGGTGAACAAGCCCCCGAGGGGTGCATTTGCTTACACAAAGGAAATCAGAAGCTGAGGAATCACACAATTTTTTATCCTCTCATTTTCTACTGATGCTACTTGGTGCTAATTTTATGCTTAGGTTTGTGTTAAATCTATGTGCATACATATATGTTTTCATCTGTTTAATTCTCATTACATGTCTATTTTCTGTATTTTATTTAAAGAAATTCACTTTCTTATAGATAACACTGACAGAAAGCAAGCTTGTGAATGACTTACTAACTTTATTATTTGAAACAGTGTTTTAATTATATTCAAACACATTGACAATCCATTCTCAAAGAAAAAATACCAGTATTCATGATTATTCATCTAAATCAACATGGTTATGTATCCATGCTTGAGAAATCTATCTTCTAAGACTTCAGTAAAATTCAGATTAGTGTAGCACAGTCCTAGGTCCCCTGAATTAATTCTAGAAATGTAGAAATCTTCTAATATAGCTATCCAAATCTTATTTGACTTACAGAAATCTCATCAGCCACAGCAGTCTTTTAATCTTACTTCATTTTACACTCAGCAGCAGGATTTATAATTTAAAAAGTGATAAGATCCTTGCATTTTTCCCTTTAAAATCCCTTGCATTTATATTTCCCTAGGAACTCTTCACACTCTTTATGTAACTTAGAATGTCTTCGGCTATGTATCCTCTTGCATTAATTTTAATACTCTCATTGTCTTGTAGTTTTTATTTGTGTCCTTAGAAAATCTCCTTTCTTTTCTTTTGCTTTTTGCCTGCACCCTCCCTCCATCTGTCCTTCGAACTTCTCTCCTGTCTTTCTTTCTCCCTTACTTCCTTCCTCTTTCCTTTGTATTTTTTTCTCAGTGCTGGAAATCAAACGCAGGCCTGATGTGTGTGAGTAAGTACTGAATCACTGAGTAAAATTCCTAGTTTTCTTGTCAGGTCTTGAGTAGATGAATGACTGTCTTATTCTTGGACTTTACATATGATACGTATTCTTTATATACTTGTTTCAATATTTGTTTAATTTCTAATGTTCCTTCAGTATCAACTTAAAAGTACTCCATTCATATATAACTTTTTAAGACCAAATAAGTAACCTTTTCTGGTAGGGTACTGACAAAGTTTTTCAAGTTCATTAACTACTTGCATAGTCTTTTACCAAGAGATTACACACATATACTGTCAAGTCAAACGCTGGGTCAAAGACTTCTCTATTTTTCTCATCTTTTTCTAAGTTCCTTTTTGATGTAAAGGTGGATTTGGGAAGAAGTAGTAAGACATAGTAGATCCAATTCTGTCTCTTTATGAAATCCTACAGAGGACTCTATCTAAATTCTGGATGCAATAGAATGAAATCTACATAGTATCTACATAGTACAGTTTCATCTTTCACTTGGTATTCCAGTTATCAATTGTGGAATTATAGAGAGTGCTTCTAAACACTTTTTCCTATGAGTTATCTTTTCCTCCCATTAAATATTATAGGAGAGTAACTGTTTCTTTTTACATTGATATTGTGTATTTATTGACTACCTTACATGCAGGCACACAAGAGGTACTCAAAAATACATGCTTAAAGAGATTTAGAGAAGCAAAACATGGTTCAAAAATCATTATCTTTCCTAAACAGCATAGGTATCAATTTTAGTGGTCTTATTCTGGTATTTCTGAAAACAAACAACATTGAGAAAATTTATCTTCTGCATTAGTAATGACTTACTTATGAGCCTAGTTTCACGTATGGCAATACAGATATATTAGTTTTATTGTAAAATATTTAATAAATGTGTATATATATACACACACATATATATGGAATTACTAGTAGGAATGATTTATTGTTTTGATTGTAAAACAAAATACTAACATGACTTCAAAATACTAGGAAAACAGAAAAAAAAAACACAAACAACATTATTATTTTGAAACACACAACTTACCTCCACGCCCAAAATTCCCAATCTCATTTGGGCCGCTATTGCTATTGTTTACTGGCAAACTTGTAGCTGGCCAGGAGTCAGCAAGCCAGGGATAATTTGGATCACCAGCATTTAGAAGACCTGGACGGCTAAAGTAGAAATGAGAAATACATCAGCCTATGACGCTCAACATAAAATGCTGACCCTGCATCAGGCATTAAAAAGGGTTAAGTTATTTAAGAAGATTTTAAATGACTTCAAATTAAAATCTGTAGGCTCTCAAAAATTAAGGAACCTTAGTAATTCATTAAAACTACATAAGATCAAAACATTGGTGGAAGCAGAGTCCTTGCTTGGGATTCTGCTTACATTCAAATGAAGTCTGCTCTCTGACCTGAAAGTGGTAGGGATTGGTAACACAGGAGCCCAAAACAAGGCATGATGATAAACTGACACCTCAGGGGACCAATTATTCAGAATAGCTGATCAGTATCAGCCATTTTCAGGATTTTGGGCTCCTCCATTCTCAATTCCTACGGCCACATGTATTTGTCCTCTTTAGGCAATCATCCATGTAATAAGTCCTTGTTCTTGTTTTAGAGGCAAAGAACTTGAGGAAAATTAATGAACAGTATTTATACTGCTTCACCAACAGCACATTTCCTAGATCTCAACTGAGAAATATCAGGAGTACATTAAGGAATTCTTTTAAGGTAAAAGATCGACTGTCATCTGATCCAGCATGTGAGTATAACTTAAAAGGAAAACTTCCTTCACATCATATTTAATAAAGAATTCCCTACTTTACTCTAAAAGATGTATTCTTATTCTCTGCATATTATTAGCATATTTACCAAGAAACAGAACATCTACCATCACTGTATCTTTTTATTGATAGACCTATTCTGGTATGATCCCTAAGAGAAACATGTGTTTCTATGGCAACTACAATAAGAAGATTCAACAGCTTTCTTGCTACATGCACTAGTCTCATTAGACTTAATCTCTTTTTGCTAAAATATTGATTAAATGGGAGATTGGAAGTTATTACCAGAGCCTAATTACAATCTCCATATTGGCAAAAGGAAAATAGATGAGGATATATGGGTTTGTTATCAGCTCTTATCAATTTCAATTGAGTATCCAAAGTTGTGGAATCCAGTCCTATCAATCTACAGTCTATTCATCATCCATGAATCATTTACTTTGTGATCGATTATGTGTAATTGTTCACTCACAGCAATTTAGTGAGAGCCAATAAGGAGTCTTAAACAACAGCAACTTCATTTGCTAATGTCTAATTAATGCAATAAACATCCTGCTAACAAATGAACACATTCCCTGTGATATTTACTACTAATTTCTTCAGGGGCATCTGGGAGATATGAAACATCTGGACTTGATTCCTCTAAAGTGCACAAAAGATAGATCATTAAACCTTGTGGTAAGCCATTTAATTCCTCCTAGAATTCTCTGATTTGTGATTGTTTGTTACAATAATAGTCGCTTACTACAGAATTTCCTCAGTCCTGATTAAAACTAACAATAAAAAGAATCTCCTTATCATACCTTCCATTGCTCATGAGTCCTCCATCTCCTCTTTGAAATGTAACTGTAACAAAAGGAAACACACACAGACACACATACACACAGTCAATATTAATTACGATTCATAACAACTACATATTGGACCTCAGTTTAGAGCCAAAGCCCCTGGGAATTTTAACAAATATAATTAACATAATTGTACAGATTGTACAAGCAGTAGTTTAGCTCAGGGCGAAGCCAATCCTTGCTTCAACTTTAACAGAATATTTCAAGTTTTCCTCAAGCCAAATGTACAGTTAAGTTAAAGTGGCACTTTGTATTTAGATGTCAAATACCAGTGCAAGTGTTATACATCGTGTTAAGATTAAGAGTAAATAAGATTAAGATTAAAATAAGATTATCTTAACACAAAATTGTCTTAATTAGGAGGCAGCACACAAAATATACATAAGTTGAAACAGGATCATTCCAACAGGTAGTATTCTTCAAATAAAACAAGGGAAACAGATACTTACTGACCATATTCGTCTGTTACAAGTCTTTTTAGCTATACTCATATGAACCATGAATTGAACAGGTATAATTGCAATAGAAATGAATTATAATTAATATAGAATAGCATGCTCATGAAAATAAAGTGTTCAAATAATTGATGCCTAATAGATGTCATTATATGCAAAGATCACAAAGCTTAAATTTTACTCAAAACAGTGGGACTTATTAGCGACACTAACTAACAAAACGTAGGACTGAGGTCAATGAATCCACCCTTTCCAGTTAGTGACTTTCGCTTCAGAAAGCCAAACCCTGTGAGTGGGTTTCAAAGATCAGACTAAGAGTGTAATTGTTAGTGTATGCCCTTTATCCAAAACCTCTGCAACCAAAAGTATTGGAATTTTAAAGTGATTCATATTTGAGAAAAATCATACACTGTACATACTTCAAAGACTGTATGAGACAAACTGAATTCAAAGTTACACAATAGTTCTTCAATGAAATGTGAATAGCATGAATAGTAAGATAAACTATAGTTTTACATTAGTTTGGATCAAATTTTGATGTAAATTATTCAATTAGAAAATTACAGAAATAAAATTTGTTAAGAAGTTTGTACATTTTACAATATTGCAATGAACTTGTGATTCTGATCAAAATTTTTATAGATCTATTAGCCAGTCTTAGACCCAAAGGGAAACAGTATTGTTTATATTGCCGTGAAACCAACAACCAATATAACCTTTAGAAGATATTAATTATATTTACTATGTTTACTATGTATGGTGAGTTAAGGTGAAAATAACTTTTTATTAATTAATCCATTCTTTAAATAAGCAGGATATATTGATACTTATGATGTGTATATAATGAGTACTTTTAAATTTGAATAAAATACCTGATCTCTTTCTGAAGTTTCAAATACCAGTTACGATCATTCTTTATTCTCCTAAACAATACCTAAGTAGGGGCTGGGGATTTAGCTCAGCGGCATAAGTGCCTGCCTTGTAAGCAGGCAGTCGTGAGTTCTATCTCTGGTACCGATAAAAAGGAAAAAGAAAAAAAAAAAAAAAGTAAAAATAAATAAATAAATAAATGTCTAAGTACATATATCCAGTCTCTTCTTAAAGATCATCTAATAATATCTCCTGAAATCATAATCAGGCAACATGATCATAATTCTAAGCGCCTCTCAGAGCTTTAAGAGACTGGAATATATCAGGGTCTTCAGACATAATTTGTTGCTTTATCAATTTTTTTCAGCAAACATCTCAAAGGCATTGTAAACCAGTCCTGAGACCACCTATTCATTTGTCCAGAATTGACCACACACAGCTCTGCAGTGAAGATGAAGAAAATACTGATCACTAGTTACTTAAGAGCTAGGAACTAGGAATCAGCAGAGAATCTGATCACTACTTTTAACAAAACAAACTGATCTAAAACAATACAGAAAATTAAATGAAGGCCAGATTAGATGCACTTGGGTGTATATACACAAGCACACACATATACACAGAGTGTGAAAGTGGTTCAGTTAACTAGCTTTCCATCTGATATGACTCTATTAATTTTGTGAGTTTTAAAATAAAATATTAAGTGGTTGTTTTACTCTGCTAAGAGAGTTAAGAGAGTGCTGAGTATACCACTGTGAGTATGCAAATAATAGGCTTTTGATGGGCTGCACTTCACAATGTGCTGTTTAAAAGATATATGAAAAACTAAATTCTCCCTAAATTAGAACTCCTTTCCAATACTAATTTTCTGTTAGTGCCAGAGCAATAAATGATAGTGGAGAAAAAGAAGACAACTGAAGAAGTGCCAAAAATAAAAAAAAAAAAAAAATGAAGGCGTACTTAACTTTAAATGCTATTCAATGACAGACTCTTCATAAAATTTAAAGCTTAAAGCATACGATGTAACACACAAAAAGGAGTCATTGGTCACAGTTGATTTGCAGGTCTACTAGAGTATGGACCTTGAGGTATAACCCATATTTGCCAACCAAAAAGTAATTTTTGTGATCAAAAGAATTTAAATTTCAATGCATTTCATGTTCATCATTCAGAGCATGCACACTTTCTGTTTGTGTCCCAGCCATCATTAAAATGTTTTCCAAGTGCTCCCATAATGTTAGTATGTTGTCAGACATTCCAAAAAGACTTTTATTTCTATCTTTGCATAACTGTTAAGGGAAGTCAAAAATTCATAGAACTACCTAAACGGTTGACTAGCCCAAAATGGCCCCTACTCATTTTGGAGCATAGAATCTTCCACTCAGTACATTTTGGTCAAAAAAGAAGAACAAGGGGAAAAAAAGAGAAGGAGGAGAGAGAAAAAGTTCAAGAAGTAAAAGGAGGTGGATGTGAATGTGGAGGAGGAAGAGGAAGAGGAGGAATACAACAAAAACTAAAAACAAAAATACCACCATCACATACCCAGCCCTTATGATAATAGTGTTGATTAGTTGTGTTTATAAATACAGACGAGAAAGATAACACGTGGTCAATATTTTTTTTATCCTTTGCTCCAAAGTTTGTATATTCTTTACATTTTGAAAAGTATGCCTAAAATAACAGTTCTATTCAACAATGAAGTTGAAGTTGGGTTACAAATAAAGATGAACATTTAGAACTTAGGAAATAGAAATTTTAAATTATATTTGGATCAGAATTGTGTGTAGAAACAATATCAAAAATAAAATGCATATTGGGCTGAAAGTTTTTTCTGAAGTAATTCTCAATTTCAATAAGTGTTTTGCCTTGAGGTGGAAAGAAATCAGGAGTGGAGGTGTATGGTGGGTGCTTGGACAATTTCTTCTTGTCACAATTTTTATAATCACAGGGCACTAACAATGTGCTTATCAGTGATTGAATAACTATGATTTTTAATCTGTAGTTTTTAATCTGCTAGCATCTCAAATTAAAAACTTCCAAGGTATTGGAACTTTTAATAAAGGGTTTCCAGAAAGTTCCACAGAAACTACAGTTTAGATATGCATGAAACATTCTGAATTTTTATGATGGAAAAAAGTTTAAGAAATTTTGTAAGATTATGCTACATACAAACTTCTCCTATTATCTGACAGGATTAATCTTAATATTGTGCCTGCTAGAATAGGAGGAGAGAAAGAAAATATAACTATGTGGTAAATTGACATTTTTTAGTAAGGACTACTTCTGTGCACATATTTCTAATATATCACATTTTCTTATTCCAAATTTACACATTAAATATTGCAGTTAAAACTCATTACCTATCCTGAAAAAGTATTTCTGAAAAATGAATATGAATTAATCCTCATTTAATAAGCATCAACTAAACCTGGATAATCACAGAATAAAAATTTCATCAAATCTTTTAACTGCTTTTGCAGTTTTTCAAATAATTGGTATTTCAACAACAGCTTTAAAACTCATGTGAAATGTTTAGCATGTTATAATTTGCTAACTCTTGTAAATTATTTACATTTACTAGTTCATAAAATATTGTCTCCATATATAATATTCATAAAATTCATATTACTTTTTCATTAAACTTTGATGACTTATAACAATTCTAAATAGAAAAATGGATAGAATAACCTTGAAAAGAGCCATACGTTTTTCATAAAATTTTTAATACATCTATAAATAATCCTTGTGAAATCTACAGAGATTTTTTTGAATCTTAGGTTGTTCATATATATCTACAAGAAAACATTATTGGATATAAAACATTCACTTTGAATTCAAGACCATCTAATTTGGTGTATTTTCCCCAGGTATTTGTCTATGATTCTCTTTTACTTTAAAACAATTAAGATAGTGAAGCTTCCAGCATTCAAGAACCACAAATGGCAGTGATAAAGAGAGTGTTAGTACTCATTGAAAAGATAAATAACACTGCCTGTTGGTTTATAAAAGTGGCTAATTACTTTGCATTATAATATGTGGTGCCTTTTTGTTCCAGCAGCCCTTTTAATGACATGGGTATATCTACAATATGTATTTGTATATAAAAATTATGTAAAGAATAAATATGAAAAAATAACACTGTAAATATGTGTGTAATGTTGTCCTAGAGAACTTTCTTCTTTTTTCCATGTAAAGATGCAAAACACATTTAGGTCAAATTCTCCTCCCATATGATTTATGTGTATAAATCTAAATTGTATTATTGATACTTGTTTATATCATTTGAGGTTTAATATAGTAGTGTGCAGTGATAAATATGTGAAGTCCTCTGACATCAAATGGACAGTTTTGTGGACTTTTTCTTTTCTAAGTTTTTAATTTAACTTTATATAATAATAACAAATGAAGCACTGGAAATAACAACTAATGATGATGTTTTGGGTATACAGATGAGCAGAAGGTATCTTACTGCTTATTTAGTATCTTATCCAACAAAGTATTCTTAGACCATCATTAGTTACTATCTTTTTTATTTTACCTCTAGAAGCTAAGAAAGGATTTGAAAAAAAAGGGATGGGAAGACTGGAATGTGGGAATCAAACATGGCTTTCTGTGTAATTTTGTTTATGTTCAGTGTAGTTTTACCAAAAGTATATGCCTGCCAGTATACAAATGCATCAAATATTTAATTATCAGCACAACTGGAACTTGAAAAAAATGAAGTATCTTATTCTATGAATTAATTTGAATCTTAATTTCAAAATTGACTATATTTATTATAAAATAATTATGATTCTTGTGCATCAAAAATTAGAAGCTATATAAACATGTACTTGAGACTATAAATACATTACCATGTTGCAAAAAGTAGAAACTAGACTTTTTGTGTTGTGCATGAAATCGTATAGCTTTAATTTTATTTAGTTTTCATACTCATAAAATATGCAAAATTTTCATGAAAACTAAAATATAAACAGAAGTAGTACACATACAGCATTTTTTCTGTATTTTATTTTTATAAAACGCTTCTGGGGAAAATAATTCTGCATGTAATCACTGTGCTTTTAAAATAGATTATTGGCTCATGTTTGAAATATAAAAATATAAACATATGATAGATATATATACCACCAATTTACATTAAATTATCCATATAAAATCTTATTCTCAGTGTTGGATAAGGAAAAGATTGTGACCTTTTAACAGGTTGGAGGATGGTTAGTTTTGGAGAAAAGTGCATAAAAAAATCACAAATAAAGTGTGTACTGCGAGGGGCCCATGGTACAGCAAATTTTCATTTACATCTCATCTATAAGAAGAGAAGAGCATTTGTGAGAAAGCAGAGACCTTCTCACAACCAGCTGAAGGGAAATTCATTTTGAGTCAGCCATTTATCAATTAAGTAAAAAAGTTTTGAAAGGCTTTTCTCTGGCTTGGCCTTCTTCCAAAATATTTGAAGGGCATAGGACATTCTGAGTTAGCAATTCTTCTAAGCACAGGGATATCAATCACAATGAAAAATGATAATAAGAAATGTACTATTGTCAAACTCAAAGACCAACAGATATTTTCAAATTAAGGGTACATGTTTTGCAAAGAGCTGCTACTAAAAAAAAAAAAAAAAAAAAAAAAAAAAAAGAATAAAACTCTGTCTGATGTTAATTTTACTGAAACTGTAAATCTACCCAATACGAAGCATATTTTATCATGAAAAGTGAGTGAATGGAGAAGTAAGGAGGTCAAAATGCATCATTTGCTACTGAAATATATTAGAACTTTGACCTGAACGTGCTTGCATAGCATAACTTTTATTATTGTCATTAAAGTCAAGTGAATAAACACAAAACTGTTCGTGATTTATGCAAGTGTGTCATGGAGATGAAATACAACATAAGGATAATAAAGCAGCTTTGCCAATGGACCATACTTTCATGAGTGAAGGAGGAGGAATGGATCGCCAAACAGAAAGATACATTCCAGTATTTTGAATGTCTAAGAATGACACTCAGAAATTACTCCTGAGCATTCTTTTTGGGAAAGAATCTCTAATTGGTGATATGATTTAGCACATAGATGACAAAGAATAAAGAAGCAGGGAGCCAGCAACTCTGGAGAAACGAGAACGGCAGAATCATAGCCTGGCACCACGCACAAAGCCTTTCTCAGTGGAGATGCATTTGTACTTTCTGTAGTCTCAGAAATTCACACAATACATAAACAATAAATCTCATCTTCCTAAGATGCATACATATTTCTGACTTTCTTGAAACTCTATCCTGGATTTGAAGAAGAAAATAACTTTGTAAACATCTAGACCATCAGAGATTATTTTTTTTTTTGCTTATTTTTCTTCTCTTTTTTTCACCCCTTTTTGATTTTTCTTTCCCTAAAATTCTTCTTATTCACCTTAGAATACATTCCATAAGTGAGCTGTAAATCATTTCATTCATGTCTTATCGATTTTACTAATTCTGGTATTGCCTCCTGTAATCTGCAACCTGACATATTAGAAGCTATATTTCAAATCTCTTTTTATTTCTGAACATGATAGCAATGTTCTTGCCTAAATACACATCTATAATAATTGCTTCATAGCACACATAATATGTGCATGTGTGTGTGGTTTGCGTGTGTGCATAGTCACAAGCATGTGTGTGTGTGTGTGTGTGTGTGTGTGTGTTTCTGCTCATTTTTGTGTGTGGTTTGAAAAAGTAGTCGAGAAAAAAACAGTTGAGCATTTTATCAGGTTGTACTCTTGTTATTTCATTGGACACACAAGCGAAAAAATTCATATAGTCATAAAGTGATACAATCAAGGTCAATGCATTAAAGCCTGTTGTTTACCACTGCATTTTAGAGAATAAGTCTTTAAGTCAAAATCATTTATTTCACTATATTTCCTCTTATTTTATTACATTCATTAATTTTGACAAATTTCTAAAAATGTTCTGGAAACAATATCTTACCTGCGTAATTACTCAGTCCCTTTCTCTTCTTCCTTCGCCAGTATAACCAGATGCTAAAACCCATCAGAATTACCCAACAGGCCCCACCAATACCAGCTATAAAGGCTGGTTGCTTCACAACATCGGTGATTTGCTCAGTTATGCTGTTATTGTTTTCAGTAATGACAACTTCATTACGTCCCCCTATGGAAAAACAACATTAGTAAATTTTCAGGCACGAATAGACACAAGAATACATATATGGTGTACCAAAGGCACAGAAAAACTCATTGGTTTTGTGCTATAACTGTTGATAAGCATATTTTGTAAGTTTGGATATAAAAATGAAATTGTCTTTAAAAGTGTGATGAAAACTTGGCAGGATGGCACAGGCCTGTAATCCCAGCACTTGGAAGGCTGAGGCATGAGGATCGCTGTGACTTCGAGGTGCACCTTGGCTACAAAGTGAATTCAAAGCAGCCTGAATAATACAGTGAAACTCTGCCTCAAAAAAGACAAAAAAGTAATTAAATAAATAAAAGTATGATTAATAGCATTGTTCTCTTTTGTTCTATTAGCCATGAACAAATTCTAAAACATTTCTTGATTTATAGCCTTATAAATAAATAAACAAATACATAGGATGATCTGAAATAACAACTTTTAGCTTCCCTCGACCTCCCTTCTCTCCTCTCTCATTTCCTTTCCCTTTGTTTGTACTTTACACTAATAGCAAGTGCTAGCCAACTACTCTACCACTGAGCTATCCCAGCTACATCTCTTTTGAAACAAGCACTAGTTTCCAGCCCGACATCCTCCTGCCTCTGTCTCTCCAGTAGCTGGGATTATAGGCATGTGCCCCTGTGCCCAGCTACCATTTTTTTCTTGGGTTGGATAATGCATTTTTTCAGATAGTACTTGTTTAACATAGGGTATTGAAAAATTGCTTTTCTGCTGAGCATTGTCTATGTTCAAATAGAGTTTATACAAGTTTATACAATTTAATATAAACTTTTTATATTCTATTAGAGATTTTATTTTGTATAAATAGACACTAATTTCCTGGCAGTAGGAAAGCTGCTACAGAAAAGTTACGTTATTTCATCAGCATGTGTAATTAAATACGAAGGAAGGGTAAGATTCAGTGGTGGTGAACCTGTGGCACTTGTGTTATTTGTTTTCATTTTAAGGCAAAAGATGTCAATGTATGAGTTGTTTTTTCTAAATTAAAACATCAGTTATCGGGTTTAAATGAAGCGTTTACTTTTCAATAAATACATGGTTTTGGGTTATAGTTTGGGTACTCATCTCTAAAAGGTTTGCCATCATTGCTTTAACTTATTTGAAGTTAATTTGATAGTCCATTTGAATGCTGAGTAAAATATAATTTTAGAATTCAAGTTAAAATCTCTACAATAAAACAAACAATCACATATGGATTAATGTGATTGTAGAAATGATCATGTTTTGAAAATTTAGACCTCTTAAATAATTAAGACAGTATGAACATTTTAAATAAATTTAGAACTTATGGAATCAGGATATCATTGAAGAGCAAAGCTTTAAATGCTCATTTAATAGATTAGATAGTGAAAGTTAAGTGATTTCTAATGCTAATCTGATACAGAGTTAGCACTTAATAAAAGGTAAACTATAAGACCAACATCATAGCTTATCATACTAAAGAAATTGTGTGGGATTATCACTGTTGTGGCTAACATAGAGTTGTAATGTTCTAGAAAGAGCATGATTTTTGATGTCCTAGATTGGAATATTATCTCTGCCACTTACCAGTAAGTTAGTGATAAATTTATGTTAGGGATTTAATCTTATAATCTTCTGTTTCAGTTAATTGGCAATATTCGTATCTACTTCACATATTTGGGAGGATCATTAAGGGTTTTCATAGAAAATAGCTCTTAGGGACAAAATAGTTTTGACTCAAAATTATTACTCCAGTAATGGTGGGAGTTATTTTGAGAGCTTTTCAGGTAACTTATTGGACAACAGTGATAAATCATCTAGATTTGAGGTTTCACATCACAGGAGACTTGCTTATCATGCTGATTCTCCTTTTTTATTTCCCAAGGAAGAAAATTAGCTTCCTATTTCTCAGTCTTCCTTGCAACAAAGGGACTGAGCATTAGCCAGAAGTAGGGACAAGTGAGGTGGACTACCTCTCACCTAAGTCTTAAAACTGCTGTGACATTACTTGGTATTCTTTCTCTTTCTTCAAGTGTTAGACAGAGATAAATAATCTTTCAGAAGATACTGAGTCTTTAAGAGATGGTAGAGTTATTGCCTGGAAGAATTCAAGGACTTTGAACGACTGGAGTGAGCTGAAGCTTTATTGCTTCATCTAAATAGGCTATGAGTAAGGGAAAAAAAAAACAAACAAACAAACAAAAAAAAAACTTTACTTGAGCCAATCAAAATGAAAGCTCAGTTTACTTGTTGTAATTGGTAGCAGTACCTTCCGTACACTAATACTGCATTCCTGAAAGGCCTTTTATGATAAGTTCCAAACTCAAAAATCAGATTCACTTAATTAAACAAGTTCTACTCCATAAGTCTACCCTTAATTCTCTGTGTAAACAAAATATAAACTATGTTTAAAATAGCTCATACTTCCAACAAAGATGTTAGAATTTTCTTAGGTATTAGCAGTTACTTAAAAGAAAATCAATAACTCTCACAGAGCAACAGAAAATAACATTTGTTTTTCAATTTTGTGGATTCCATAATAGAGTATATTAAATCTACTGTAATATTTATATTAGCTAAATCATATTTCTTGTTTTTAATGTTGCTAGTACTTTAGAAACAATGTTGTCAGTTGGACTAATTAAAGCACAGACAAGGATGTGCGTGACCTGTAATGCTCCATTGTTCTTGCAGACAAAAAAAAATGAAATATAATGTGTCCCTCCCATTGGAGAGTAACGAAGAACAAAACTAATTTGTTGGACTAAAAATTAATTAGACACATCAGATTCGGTTGTACCTATTACTATGAAAGTTTGAAGCTTATTACCATTGCACATATTATCAACTATGAAACCTAAGCATGAAAAGGCCAAATAATTAGAGAAATAATAATTCTAATATTAAATAAAATTACTAGAAATTTTAAGTCATGTAAATTTGTTATATGGCATGCAGTTTGGTGGTTATATATGTGGACACACTTGGCTCTTTTTCATGCCATAGGTCTAATGATATGGAATTATGGATATTTTTACATAAAAGTAACTTTTCCATAGAAGACTGAAGAGAAAAGAACACCAACTTTAAACCCTATGAATTGTATTATATTTTTGTAATATTTTAATTAATGGTCCCTTCAAGGCACTGTTTGAAATGAAGACTAAACTGAGAGGGAGCAGATGAAATTGTATAGGGTCTGGCATAGGACAAATCTAAAATTATGAATCATAAATTACATCAATGTCAATACACGATTTAATTAAAGCCAAAGGAAATGAGGGAGAGTTTAAGTCACTTTAAATTCTGTGTCTAGTACTGAAGAGACAATAGGGAAAGCATGAATTGAAACAGGAAAGATTAGCCATCTCTAAATCACTATTCTACTAAGGCAGAGCAATTGTGTAGAGAGCGTTATCAGACAAGATGTGAAGTTAGATACAGAGGGATAATTAAAGAAACAATTAGGAGGCTTCCCAGTACAACAGGAGATATTAAACAGAAATAAATCTCGTGAGGACAAATAGGCTTATCTGGGTTGAATTGTGTTTATGTGTATGTACACACATGTGCTCCTTTTAAGTACTACACTTTCATTTTATGTGATTACCTCTTGTGCACAGCATATTCTAATTTTCTGAAAAGGATATTAGAAAATCATTTACTAGATTGCTTTATTTTCTTGAAAACTTTGAATGACATTTGCATGGTACTCTGAGTTATAAATTAAAAGGTTTGCATTATCCATTTGAAAACCTAGTCCTTTTAAAATGACAGGAGAGTTAAGTAAACTTTTTATTTGATTTAAAGTAATCTAAATTAACTTTATTATTAAGTTACCAGTCATTTTCATAGTCTATGACTATGACCTGTCATGACTTCAGCTAGGTTATGTCATGTGCTTGCTATTTTTCACCTGCCTTCTAGAGCAGCAGAGCTCCACAATATATGGTGAAAGACATGATTGTCACGGGAAAAGAGAACAAAGAAAACTTTGCCTGACTAACAAATATATTTCTTAAAGAAGATATAAGGAACATAAGACAGGGAAATATAGTTATTTGTCTTTAAATTATAAAACTTATATTCTCTCAACCCATTTCATATATGTACTAAGACAAAAAAAATTTACTTATAAACATCGATCATTTCACAAAGCATGCTTTATAAATAGTTGTTGTTGTGAAAAATTAATTGATTATTCCTAAATATATACATGCATATATATATGTATTCATATGTATACACATCTGTATATGTATCAGTTAAGCCCTTTGAGGTGTACCTATATTTCATTCTTATTCCAATTATTTTAGAAATTCTCAGAAGGCAGGACTGTAGGTTTCCCTCAGGTTAAGGAATTAATTCAGTCTGAACAACTAATTAAGAAAGGAAAAGCACTTTACCGAAAAGGTAAGATTTTAACTTTTATCTTGAATGTTTTTAACACATAAAGAAAATGGAAAAATCTAAAAACTTTTATTGTTGTGGTTTGATGTAAATCTGTCTAACTGTACTAAATCCTTCATGATAGAATTGATTATCCAGAAACTTGCAATATATTCCCTATGCATCATTTCAGACAACAAACAGGAAAACAAGAATGGCTTGTATGAACTCTGGACAAATGATTTAAAATATATTGTCTCGGGGCTGGGGATTTAGCTCAGCGGCATAAGCACCTGCATTGCAAGCAGGCAGTCGTGAGTTCGATCCCTGGTACCGATAAAAACGAAAAAGACAAATAAATAAATAAATAAATAAATAAATAAATAAAATAAAATAAAATATATTGTCTCTGGGAAGAATGTTTCTTTAATGTTTTAATTTTTTTTTTTTAACTTAAGGCACTACAAGCAAATAAGTATTGGGAAAACAGAGATTTGCCTCTTTAAGGATGAGACCTGCTGAAGGAAATCTACATTTCTGTGCCCTTAAGAGAAATCTTTAAACTCTGCAGCAGTACTAAGCTGAATAAAATGGGAAACCTCCATCCATCC